GGCGGCTGCGGGAGGCGCGGGGGTCGAGTGCGGATCCCTCCGGAGAGGATCGCCGAGCGGCCGCCGCGCCTTCGGCTTTTGCCGCCCGGCAGCCGCCGAACTTGAACGCTCCGGGAAGAGAGTTTCCCCCGCTCCCGTTGGGGTTAAAACCTCGAAAACCCGCCCTTGTGTGTTTGATCCTGTTTGGCTGGTGCCGGTACCTGGCCGTTCCTCCAGCCGGAGGAGTTAACCACCTGTTCAGTCGGGGGTTGGACTCCGGGCTGCAGCCCTCGCCCTGTTTAACAACCTGGATCTTTGAACTTTTGACACGGCTGTGGAAGGACGTCATGCGTTAGGTAAAAGAAAATGAACACATAATTTAGCCATAAAATCGCGGGCAAGACGGCGGCCTTTTGATCAATGTAGCCTTTTATCGTTCTTTTATTAAACTGTGAGCGTTAAAAGTCTTGGGATAATTTTTGTGGGGGGAGAGGGGGTGTCATGGTTGCTGGGGTGCTAGGAATCGTAAATCCGAGATTTTCGTTTGTGAAATTTCCTGTAAGTTCCTTTGGACACCTTTGTGTCTGAGTATCTATTAACTAAGAATACCAGGCTGACAAGAATTTTTTTTTTTACTGTATAATCCTCGTGTATGGGTAGACTGTAGACTCTTAAAACTGAGCAGCATAATTATTTTGCTTCTTCGTGGTCTGTGTTTTTAGTTCTTGAAAGCCAAGATGGTGTGTGTTTTTCTGTATTATAAGAATGAAATAACAAAAGTTGAACTGTTACTATAATATTTTATCACCATGATATTACCAGCACTAGTGCTAAACATATGCCACCCAGGAGTTGGAGCCATATGTTAGGCAGAAGCTGATTGAGTTTTGTGGCTATGCGCTTGTATTTAGATAAATATTTAGTTTTTGTGTGTTTGCTAAATCTGTTATTCTTGCCATCGTGTAAGGTTTGTTTAAATCACCTAAAAATATTCCAGAGAAATAAGCCCCCTCCTTTTTTGATATCTTCTTGGTCGAATTGATTATTCTCAAGTAATGAGATAAAGTGCCCAGATGGTGGGCTTAAAACAGTGATAAAAAGGATTTTTAACACATCTTTTGTAACATAGAACCTAAAATTTTGCTTTCAGTTTTTCAGCTCACTGATAATTTGTGCCATCTCTACTTGTACCAGTTAGTGGGAAGAAGGGATGATGACTTGACAGGAAAAAAATCTTGTTAAATTTTTTATAAATAATTTTATATTTAAGATTTTTAGCACTATCACCATAAAGTTCACTAATTTTCCTCTTTCTCTTAGTAGAATATATTTCAGTTTTCTTTTGTAGAGTAACGGAAAATATTTTTATCCCAGGGTGGCTGCTTTTAACCACCTGTATGCTTCTGAATGAACTCCCTCTTTTCCCCTTTTGTCTGAAGCCTGAAAAATCATCGACTGTTCAGGAAAAATAATTCTGATTAGCACTGGCTACAATCAGACATAATTATTATAAGGGTAATTGGCTTCTCCCAAATTAATGATATGCATTTAAAAAAACAGATTCTAGAATTATCTTTTGGTGTCATCTGTGTCATCACTTACCCCCTTTGTGTGACTAATTGAGAGCTGTTTCCTTTTATCATGCATTTAATAATTATGTTTTAATTTTTAAAGTTCTACAGTATAATATTGAGCATATTTTATTACTAATTAAGAAAAAATTTCATCCTCTTCTCAGACCAGCCAGGCAGAGGTCAGGACTATAAAACCCAGAAAAAAAAGAAGGGATGCATAATTAATATTCTCATTGTCTTTTGTAGTTCTACTTAGGTAAAGAGCATTTAATTTATAATTTGTTTTAGTTTAGACTCATGAGTAATAGTTATGCCTGTTTAAAAGTATTTGTATTTTTTTAATGTACATACATCCAAGGTTTGTGCATCTTCTATTTTGCCTATATTTTTAAAATACAATTTGATGAAGTAACCTAAAGGTTTTGTTTTTGTTTTTAATATTCTTGGTGCATTTTTCTGTGAAAATGAGTCTAGATGATGTCTTTGAGCATGATGTAGGGATATGCATGTGATTTCCAATTTTATTAGCCAGGTAATCAAAAGATAAGTGATTGCTTCCCCCCCCCCTCCAGCAATCTCTAGCAGACTTCAAATAAATTCACAGTATTTTAAATTTAGAGATTTAGAATACCCTGCATATCTATTCCATTGAGTCTTTTAGTGCTTCAGTTTATCACATTGCAAAAAGAAGAAGAAAAATGGCCCCTGTGGATATCAGAGTTGAGAGCTGCTTGTTAAAATGAACTTAATGACCAGTGGTGTTGAAAGGCAATTTTTTTACTTGTATTAGGAGCTTTTATTATTTTCTTAATATTTTGGTCTCATTTTATTTGAGTATTATGCTGTGGTCTCTTTATCCTTTGATCTTTATCTCTTTTCTCCCACTGTTGTAGTTCTGTTTGTCTTTCACATACACTTTCTAAGTATTCAGTGTAGCCTATGGTCTTCCATCAAGTTGCTTTGTAGGTGTCTTCCTTTGATATTTCCGATCACTTATCACCCATTACCAGTCATCAGGCTATTTTTTTCTCCCAGATGCACTTGGGAGATGACATGTGTTCAGAGGATGATGAGCTGCTATTAAAAGTAGGGATACAAAAGCGATGTGATGTGTTTCCTTCCTTCAAGTAGTTTACAGACTAGTTGAGGATATTAGACACAGGAAGTGATTAACAAAAATATAAGATGATATTATTAAATCCTGTGGCAAGGAATGTAATTTAAAGGAAAGTGAGGCCACTGAGGGCTCAAATGATCCGGGAAGGCATTTAGAGGAAGTCAGACTTGAAGCTTAGGAAGGATTTAGATAGCAAAAGGAAAGACATTCCACAAAAGATTGACAGCCAGAGCTGAAAGTAATAGCAAGACCAGTCTGAGAGCATCCAAGGACAAGTATCAGGAAAGAGAAAAAAAGAAGGTTAAAGTTGAGATTTTGGGTAAGCACGGTCAAAAGTGGAGTAGGCAGGACTGGATAAGACAGTTTGGCTGTATCATTATGAACGCTACATCTACTTTGACATATTAATAGCTTAAGCTTTATGTATGAGAGATAGATTATATATTTTATATGTGTGTTTATTATAGCTTAGATCAGGGGACAGCAGACTTTTTTGGTAGAGTGCCAGACAGTTAATATTTTAGGCCTTGTGGGCCACTTACAGTCTCTGTTGAATATTCTTTTTTGTTTTGTTTTTTTTTTTTTACAATTATAGGATTTGGCCAGCAGGCCTAGTTTGCTGACTCTTGGCTAATAATTGGCTAGGTAATTGTCCATATAGCACATAATGTGAGCTGCCTTCCATCATTTGTCTACATCGTTGTTTTCTGTGTTTGTTATGAGTATCATTTATGGGTTTTTTTCCTTATAGTAAATATAAAGAGAACATGCAGAAACAACTACTATTATAATTGTTATTTTGTGGCCAAACTTCTAGCATCTGCCTAGACTGGGTCTCAGAACTAGGAAGTGAAAGAAGAAAAAGCCTTTGAGCTAGACCTTAGAGCAGTGAAAATAGCTACAGCATGGCTTGATTTAGAATTCCTATAAGGTTAAGTATATCAACTGCCTGTTCTGGTTGTACGTATTTTAAACTGCAGTTGGCATTTTAGAAACCTTGGCTCGGGTACTGGTGTTCTGTAAGTGACAACAGGGGAGCCAGCAGTAGGAAACCTTGTTTTTAAAAGTAGTTTGGGATGAGTTAGTGAAGAGGCAAAACAGTTGGACATCCCTCAATAACTCCAAAAGTCACTGTGTTATAGAATAGTCTAATAATTGATATTTACACTGATGAGTTTGGGTCATCAAGAAAAGATGTATCATGTGTAGATTAAGGCCAAGAAAGAAGACCTAGGAATCTCTTTTAAAATATTTTCATTAAGATTGTTTAAAGATAAGTTATGGTGATTTAAGGGATGAGTATCAGTTCTTTTGAAAAATCATTTACATGAAATATCTCTGAAGTTTCTAAATTTACAGATGTGTACTTCTAAGGCAGTTCTGTTTCCTTCAGCACATTGTGTTTCATGTCCTGTTACCAGGTAAATAGTGGTGTCTAAGGTTATGATTGCATGAATGAATTGGCTAGGGTTACTCTATATTTTGTATTATCGAGAAAGTAAGAATATACCTTAAGAGGATTCTTTCGTTCAACAGGCATTAGTAAATACACTCTGTGTATCAGGGATAATATTAGGTGCTGGGAAAAGTAAAGATGTATAAGATGGAGAGCTGTCTGGATAAAATGGTAGTGTTTCATTTTACCCTCTTAAAAATATTAAAACCAACCAGACAAAACTCCAAAACTTAAAGTTAACTTTTGTCCTTTTGTTTATACTAGCATTTTCTATACTTGGTAAGTGTATATACCGTCTTAGGTTTTTAGGGCAGTACAAAGCTTTTGAGCTAAATTTCAGCCTTCATAAATTGCTACCTAATAAAAGTTTGGTTTCTTAAATTTTACTTTAAGGAGAAATTAACAGTTCACTGTCCTACCCTCCTTTTGTCAGTAGCAGCTTCATTATTCCAGCTGTTTCCGTTTCCTAGATAGGAGATAAAGTACCTTGGATATTAGTTCCAACTTCAGCCTTATTAGCCATCTGATCTCAGATTAGTTTTTTGCAATCTTAGATTCCAATTCTTAAAACAGAGAATAGTATCATGTTTTCCCCACAGAAATGTGAGCACTCAAAGAAATGTTGGAAACCGTGAAAAACATTAAAGTACCGTGTGAGTGTTTACATTAGTACTGCTATATTGGAAGCAATGCAGCCTTTTTTAATAAGACCAGAAACCATGAGTTCAAGTTTTTTCCTCCAAAGTTCTGTAAATATAGCACTTCCAGTAAACATTTAGTTTACTCAAAACTTTTAACTGCCTTCTTGGCAAAGAGAATGCACATTTTAAGAGCTTTTTTTCCATTCTTATTAATCTTTCAGTGCAGTACATATCCAGTACCTCTGTTTCTCTTTGCAAGAGAATACTGATCTCCTCCTATTCCAAGGAAATTGAGCTTTTCTTTCCGCAGTGGGGTAAAAAATATGCAAAAGTGAATTCCTTATGGTTTTCTTTTTTTCAAGTGGAATACTATTTCTGTATCTGTAATAATAAGATCCACTTGAATTCTCACTGGAAAGTTGATTATGTTTTAAAATCTTATATAGACCTGCCAGATAAGTGGTGGTACTCTCATTTTACAGATGAACTATTACTTCTGACTTCCATGTGTCTCTTCCTCCCTCACTTCTTGAGATCTCTTATGTGCTAGTTGTTAGAAATACAAAGTAAGTTTGATGTGTGCTTCGAAGTAAACCTTAGTGTAAAGGTTATCTAAATATATGATAAATTAGATTGTGTTAAGCAGCCTCTATCAGAAATGTCTGAAAGTTACTGTTATCTGTTTTCCTAATTCAGAACCCACATTTTAATATATTTTTGAACAGAATGATTTAGACAATTTAAGTGATTTCTTAGTGAAATCCAATTCCCCAGTGAGGAGAAAAAAAATCTTCCCACTTCTCTGGGGGTTCTAAACAGATGTTTAAGTACATTTTAAAGCACAGTTAGGATGTTTCTTTAAAAAATAATTATATGCTTTCTTTTGCAGTAATAGATGTCATATACAACTACTGTATACTTTTGTTGAGATCTAGCTTGAATGAGAAGTCATTTTATTTACTTCAAAATCAGCTTCTCTTAAGATTGGCTTAAATAAAAATAAAAGTGAAAACATAATTTATAACTTGAGATTTCATTATAGTTCCATTTTCTAGATTCTTTTGGCTTGCTTGTGACAGCCATTCTCAGATATAGTTTTGTTATTAAGACTTGATTTTTTCTATGTAATATTTTCATTTGCAATATATAGTTTTTTCTTACATTTCAATTAATAGTGTATGAAATACCTTTTTGTTTTTTCTGTTAGGACCAACTATTTCCAGTACTTCAAATTAGCAGATAAATCACTAATCCTCAAATGCCATAATACGCTAGCAATTTTATTTTTTTAACTTTCACTTGAGCCTTACTACAACTGGCCTAACGTGTGATAGAGTAGTCTTTGGATAAAATGTAGGGGCAACTGTCCCTTTAGTTCATCTTTCAGGCTGCTTCCAGATTAATATTTCAAAAATATAAATTTGTTCAAATCATTGCTCAATTTTAGAAACTAAAATTATACTGAAATTTCTGTTGCATCAATTATGTCTCCTATCTTTGTTTTAGAGTTTATACTCTCTTGATATCCTGTGACTGTATCATTTCCAGCTACTTTGCAGCTTTCTAGTATAAAGAGCATGTTTTACATTAGGCAGATAGAGGTTTGTTTGTTGGCTTCTTCTCTTACTGGCTGTATGTGAACATGAACATGGTACTTCATATTACTTCACTTCTGTGAGTCATAGTTTCTTCACTGTAAAGAGGGGTAATATAGGATTTATCTCCTAGAACTGGCTGTTAAAAGGATTAAAAGAGCCCATTTAATTTGGCAAGTAAAATACTTGCCATAGGATATTTATATCTAGAACTTTGATAAATATTTCTAATCATTATCACTCAGGTATCCAAATTCTTGTTTTCACCATTTATTTATTTATTCATCTATCATTTGTTAAAAACCATAAATGTCCTAGGTACTTAGAATATCAATGTCACAAAAATGAGTATCGTATTTTTCTCTAGTAATTCACACACTAGGATGAGAGATAAAGACATGTAAACAAATACATATTTTAAAATAATTAAAAGAAAATAAAATCTCTTCTCTTGCCTCTTTTCACTTGTGTGAATCCTTCCTGTAGTTTATTACTGAGCTGCTGTATGTTTCCGTAATACCCTCATAATATCATGATTGTGTATCTATCATACTGTAGCATACATATATTTCTTTACTTGCCAGTTTCAGCTATTAGACTATGAGCTCCTTGAATTTGTTTCCTCCCTGATCTTTATTATGTCTTTCCTTCTGCTAACTTTAAGTTTTGTTTGTTCTTCTTTTTCTGGTTCTTTTAGGTGGTAGTTTAGGTTATTTATTTGAGATTGTTCTTGTTTTTTGAGGAAGGCCTGTATTGCTATGCACTTGCCTCTTAGGACTCCTTTTGCCGCATTTTGCTATATGGTTGTGTTTTCATTGTCATTTGTCTCAAGGAATTTTTAAATTTCTTCTTTGATTTCATCATCGACCCATTTGATTTTTAGTAGCATGTTGTTTAGTCTCCGTACAGTCTTTTTCTTTTTTCCATTTTCTTTCTGTAGTTGATTTCTAGTGAACTCCTTGAATTTGAACAGTACTTCTTGGGTTGGCTTTTTTTTTTTTCTTTTTTTCTTTTTTCTTTTTCTGTAAAGGAGCAGGTAGCAAATATTTTAGGCTTTGTGGCCATATGGACTCTGTTGCAACTATTTAACTGTGGTGTAGGAGCATAAAAATAGCCATAGATAAATTATAAACATTGGGTATAACTGTCTTCCAAAAAAGCTTTATTTCTAAAAACAGGCAGGAGGCCAGATTTAGCCCACAAACCTTAGTTTGCTGACCTCTGCAATGCTGCATACCCTATGCCTGGCAAATACAAGGGACTCAGTAAATAATAATAATTCATATATATTAAATGCTTTCTATGTTCTGTGTGCTATTCCAAACAACTTTCCATGCATTAGTTTACTTAATCCTTAAAATAACCCTCTGAGGTAGATATTACTGTCATCATTTTAAAAATGAGGAAACTGAAGCACAGAGAAGTTAAATAACATGCCTAAAATCATACAACTAGTTAGTGAAAGATTTGGGGTTTGAACCTAGGCATTGTGACTCCAAAGCATAGGCTTTGAATCATTAAATTATATCAGTTCTAGTATGTTAAATCCCAGGAGTATAATGTTGATTCAGTATTAGGAAACATATTAATGTAATTTACTGTATAATAGATTAAATGAAAAAACTATATATAATCTTTTTGGTGCTAAGAAAAATCATTTTCTTAAATTCAGTTGTCCCTGACAACTTTTCATCAACAAGAAATATAACCTTGTAAAGGGTTTCTACTAGAAATCTATATTAAATGTCATAGTGAAATATTAGAAGTACTTTCATTAAAAGATAGGAACATAACGTTGGGGGGAAGGTATAGCTCAGTGGTAGAGCACATACTTAGAATACATGAGGTCCTGGGTTCAAATCTCAGTACCTCCATTAAAAAAGAAATTAAAAAAAAAAAAGATAGGAACGTAACATTGGTCCAAGTCTTAGCCAATGCATTAACAAACAAGAAAAGTTACTAACCTCTAAATAATGGGGAGGGGAGTGAGGTGGTATTATCACTGTTACTATTTTAGTTGATATGATTTTCTACTTAGAAAATACAGACAGGCAATAGAAAATGATTTGAGTCAAAAAGAGATTTCAGTAAACCAACTGGCTATGAGATAAACTTAGAAGATTCATTAGCTCTCTTATACACCAGCATAACCAGCTATGAAAACAATAAGAAAAAATCAAAGCCTAAATTGTAAAATACTTGAATTTTTAAACTATGCAGCTTTATCTGAAGAAAACTACAAGAAGAGCTGAATGAATAGTATATTCCTGAATATGAGAACTTAATACTATAAAATTGGCAGTTCTCACTAAATTAGTCAATAATGTAAGTATAATCCTAGTTAGAAATCCAACAGGATTTTTAAAATGGAAGTAGACAAACTTATGTTTCAAGTTTTGAAAAGGAAAAATGCACAAGAATAGCCAAGTAAATTACAAAAAGAAGCATAACAAAGGGGAACTTAGACATCAAAGATTAAAATATACTGTAAAATTACAGTTTTTAAAATAATAAGAATTTGTAGTAGGAATGAGCATGCTGATCAAAGGAACAGAACAAGGAATTCAGAGGAGCTCCATGGAAACAGAAGAATTCATTATATGATAAACAAGTGAGTAATGGAAGAGCTAGCCTATAAATGGTGTGGGACAACTGACTACCCAGTTGAGGTAAAAATAATTAGGTACCCACTTTGTGGCACTCACAAAACTAAGTTCTAGTTGGAATAAATGTAAGTAAAAAACGGCAAAAATTCTAGAAATGAATTTTGGTTTTAAATGTCAGGGTGATGAAAGTTTTAATGTGTCATTAAACTTAGATGTCATTTAAAAAGGTAGGCAATAAATGGGGATAAAATATTTGACATATTTGACATGACAAAGTTAATATTCAAAGTATACAAACTATGCCTACAAATCAGTATTAAAAAGATAACCTGGTAGAAAAGGAGAAAGAATGTAAGTAGAAAATTTATAGAAGTAGAAATATAACCTATAAAATTTGGAAGAGATACTCAACCACACCAGTAATATGAGAAATTCAAATTAAAGTATCAAGGAGATAAGATTTTTTTAAATTTTCTTAATTGTCAAAAATTGGAAAACCTTAGTAAGTATCAAATTGGAAAGTAGGCACTCAAAAACTATTGAACAGAGTATAAATAGCTTCATCTTTTTAGGGTAAAAATTTAGCTGTATCTGTCAGTTTTGGTGTCTGAAGTCATTGGTGCTTTTAAATAGAGCAATTTCAGTGTAGTATTGGGTTGGAAGCTGTGTTGCAGCAGGTTAAAGAAGTGTGAATTGTAGGCTAGTGATTCTCAACCTTTATATAACCATATTTGCCAACTGGGACAATTTTAGTATACTTTATTTTCTGAGTTTCTATTATAAAAGTAATTTTCTTTTTTCCAATACAAAATTATAATTTTGAATATAATGATTTTCAAGTCTCGTATGTCTGGATATTTTGATCTTCCCTTTTACTATTAGAACCTAATATTTTAGGAAAGTTGGTGATAAATTTCAGGAGAGATGTCAGCTTAAGCTGAATATAGAGTAAAGAAAAGAAAGATTTTTAAAAAATAAGATCGGGGAAGATGAGCATATTTAGGCAATAATTTTTAACTCAGGAATAATTATAGACTTATAAACAAAGAATCTGGTTATCTCAGAAAGGATAACATTAAAATATTGGGTTCTATAGACAAATCTTTCTTTTTTAACATTTTTTATTGATTTATAATCATTTTACAATGTTATAGACAAATCTTTCTTCTCATGGAAAATACAGAAATGTTTCTTGATTTCCTTATATCTTTTGATAAAATTCTCTATTTGGGAGAAATTAATGAAGGCAACATGTTAAATATGGTGAAGTTATAGGAAAACAGTAGCTTTTACAGAGGAATTCAAACCTTTTGGTTGTGAACCTAGATGCTAAGATGTTTCTTTATCCAGAAAATACTCAGAAACTGCTGTTTTAGTCTTGAATCCAAAGTCACTCTGATAGACATAACTAAGAATCTGAAATTTTGAAAAAGTAAACAATCTAAATATATCAGCTAGTACTTTACAAAAGGACAGTAAAATATTTGTGGATGAAAATAGAATTGTCCTGGATGCAATTACCTTGTGCTCTAAAGGTAACCCAAGTGCTCTGAAAATAGCACCAAACAGAGCTGTAAAATAGGATTTAAGATGGTACAGTTGTCACTCAGCATCCACAGAGGATTGGTTCCAGGACCCCCGCAGTTGCTCAAGTTCTTTATATAAAATGGCATAGTACGATAGAGTTGTATATCCATGGGTTCCACACCTACATATGGAAGGCCAACTGTACTTAAAAAAAAAAAATCTATTGGTCTTATTTATGTGCACATTGTCTGTCCTTTAATAGATTGGGGTTGATTTCTTGGAAACATTTCCTGCTCTCTGTTTCTGTAATTTCCTGAATGGAAGTATCTTTGTGATGTCTTTTTCATCTAGATTGCCTTTGAAATCTATTTTAACCAGATTTTCATGTTGGTATTAAGGTGTGATTTCTTAGTGGGGGTGCTGGAGCTGTATCTCCTGACTGCTTATTAAATTAAGCTATATTTAGTATATCTGACTAAGGAGAGTGATTGGCAGTGGTTCTCAAACTTCCAACCCCTGTTTTAAACCTCTGTTCACTTAGGTAGGGTAAAGACTGAGGCCCACCCATCCTGCTCACTTCCACCTTTTCAGTGAACAAGGAATTGGAGAAGAGAAAGATAAATAAGTTGTAATAAGTTCGTTGCTAACAATCTATATAAATTTCGATTTGCCTTATAAGAAAATGAGTATATATATTTGCTTTTATTAGATTAAGCCATATGAAATTGTTATTTTAAAGTTTTTGACCTTAAGTGGCAGTTTCATATGTTTCAGCCTGTTATATTATGCCCTATAAACCCTGCTCTCTATATAAAAATGTGTTATTGCACTTACCAGGAAAATAAATTTTAAGGTATTTAATATAACTTCATAAACAGCACATTGCCTATGAAGTGTCACCATATGAGCCAAATTGGATGGTTTATGAATATACGTACTTTAGAAACAAGGGTAAAGTGATAAGCCAAAGATACTGTTAATGTATATATACATCATTGTACACTATAGGGTTAATCAGTCAGCCATCTCCAAAAACTAAATTAAATATGAGAATGATAAAGTTTAACATGTAGTAATTTGTAAATAAAAGCTATTACATTTAAAACCATGACCAATTGAAGACACCGTAAAAACCAGAACTTTTTTAAAAATCATGCTTTTTAAAAATCATGCTTTTAAAGCATTGCCATTTGTGTTCTACTTGTGATACATTCATTTACCTTTCTACTGCCCATTAGGTACTTTAAAAATTAAGAGTAGTGAATTTGGTTCCCTGTCAAAATGGAGTAAAAAGCACTACATTTTCTCTTCTGTTTGAAACAACTAAAAAAAAAAAACTAGGAAAAAAATATGAAATATGAAACAGTGGCACTCAAGATGTTAGGCATCACTCAATGGAAGAGGGAGAATAAGGCCATCCTAAAAATGGCCCTGCTTATTGGCTGGAGAAAGTTTTCAGGGCACAGCACAGTGAGGGAGATCCCAAGTAGGTCCCAGCTGACTCCCTGACTTGAGAGGAACTAACAATCCAAAGACAACAGAGTGTGCAGGTCTGAGTACCAGAGAAGACAGTGCTAAACAAAAAGGACCTCAATGACCTGGAAAAGGTCCCCCTTGAGTATGCAGCAGAGTACTGACAAGTACATACATGTAAGGAGCCTGTCCAGAGCTAGAGAAAGAGCCACTGAAAAGCATTATATAAAACAGTATTCAGGCTCACGCAGGACTCGAAATAGTGCCTGTTCCCACTAACCAGACTAGAAAGCCTAATAATTCCCAGGGTATTTGGTAGAGTATTCTGGAGGGTCTTGGCCCAGTTGTGGCGAAAAAGCAACCCTAGATTAAATGCAGCTGTTTCTGCCTAACGCAAGAGCAGGAACATAAGTATTCTTGCCTAAAGCAAGACCCAAAAGGATCAAACTGTTTCCAAGTCACTTAGCCACATCTCACAGCAAAGCTCAAGAATACTTACAGGAATACAAAAAATATCCAGCGGCCAACAACGTTAAATTTACAATGTCTGACATTCAGTCAAAACTACTATGCTTTTAAAGAGGAGGGAGAATACAAACCATAATCAGGAGAAAAAAATCAGTCTCTTGAAACTGGCCCAAAAGTGATACTGATGATGAATCAGTAGTCAAGAACATTAAACGTTATGACTGTATTCAGTATGTTGGAGAAGCTAGAAGAAAGACTGAACATGTTAAGTAGAAGTATCTTCTAGATTAAAATTATAGTGTCAAAGAAAAGACGCATTGGATGAGATTAATGGCACATTAGATGTTGCCAAAGAAAAGATTAGTGGACTTGAAGAGACAGCAATAGAAACTATCAAAAATGAAACACACAGAGAAAAGAGAATTGTTTTAAAAGGGGAACTGAAAAAATATTTGAAGAAATAATGGCCAGAATTTTTCTGAATTTGATGAAAACTATAAGAAACACAATAAGCACAAGAAAGATGAACAAAATGTCTCCAAGGATCATTATAATCAAATCACTTAAAACAAAAGTGTTAAAGAGGAAAAAAATATTAAAAGCAGCCAACATTAATACAGAACAAAGATAAAGACAATAGCAGATTTCTCATCAGAAGCAATGTAGGCTAGAAGATAATGGAGCAGTGGTTATTTGGGATCCCTTGAGATTATGTATGAATTTTAGAATGAATTTTTCTATTTCTGCAAAAAATGCCATTGATATTTTGATAGGGATTGCATTGACTCTGTAGAGTGCTTTGGGCAGTATGGACATCTTAACAATATTAACAATATTAAATCTTCCAGTGCATGAACACAGGATGTCTTTTTATTTATTTGTTTCTCCTTTAATTTCTTTTAGGAATATTTTGTGGTTTTCAGTATACAAATCTTTGATCTCCTTGGCTAGATTTATTCCTAAGTATTTTATTCTTTTTAATGCTATCGTAAGTGGAACAGATATCAGATTTTTCAGTTAGTGTATAGAAATGTAACAGATTTTAGTGTGTTGTTTTGGTATCATGCATTTTTACTGAATTTACTACTTCTAGTAGTTTTCTTTTTTAATCTTAAGGGTTTTCTATCTGTAAGATCCTGTCATCTTTGAACAAAGACAGTTTTTCTTATTTCTTCCCAATTTGTATGCCTTTTATTTCTTTTTCACGCCTAATTTCTCTGCCTAGGACTGCAAGTGCTATGTTCAATACTATGAATAAATGTGAGAGTGGGAATCCTAGCCTGATTCCTGATTAGAGGAAAAGCTTTCAGTCTTTCACCACTGAGTATGATGTTAGCTGTGGACTTTTCGTATGTGGCCTTTATTATGTTGAAGTAGTTTCTGTTCCTAGTTTGTTGGTTGTTTTTGTCATGAAAAGGTGTTGAATCTTTTCAGATGCTTTTTCTGCATCAATTAAGATGATCATGTATTCATTTTTAAAACTCTAAAAAGTGCTTTTATTGAAGTATTTGCAGTGAAGCACATACATAGTGTACAGCTCACTTTATAATACACTGGTAATTACAATATAACAGCCTCCCAGGTCAAGACATAGAACAGTACCAGCACCCCAAAAACTGCCTTCATGCCCCTGTTGGTCCCCATTCTTTCTTCCTCTCCAAAGGCAATAATTATCTTGTTTTTTAAAAATGTTATAGACTAGTTTTATTGGTTTTTAAACTTTCTGTAAATAAAAATGTAGTCTTCTGTGTCTTTTTTCACTCACATTGTATTTGTACAATTTGTGTTGTTTCCGGTATCACATGTTAATTACTTTTCATAGCTGTATAATAGTTCATTGGATAAATCAAATACAGTTTACCATTAACTGTTGAGGGACATTTAGGTTGTTTACAGTTTGGGGCTAGTAAAGAATAATGCTGCTGTATACCTTCATGTACTTATCTTTTGGTGCACATGTGCATGCATTTCTTTTTGGTATATACTAGGAAGTCTAATAGCTGGATCATAACTGGGTCATAGAATATATGTTCAATTTTTATAGATAATATCAAACTTGTTTCCAAAGTGATTTTATGAGTTTCATTTACATTCCACAAGATTGTGCCAGTTGCTCTGTAGCCTCACTAATAACTTGATATTATCAGTCTTTTCCATTTTTATCCTAGTATGTTGTGGTATTTCATTATGATTTTTAATTAGCTTTTTCCTAATAATGAATTTGAGAATCTTTTCATATGTTTATTGGTCTCTTTAATTTCCACTTTTGTGAAGATATTCATGTCTCTTCTCATTTTTGTTTTTTAAAAAATCAATTTGTAGGAGACCTGTATGTATGCTAAATACATATTCTTTTCCAGTTATATGTATTGTAAATATCTTTCAGTATGTGGCTTGCTTTTTCATCCTCTTAAAGGTATTTTTAAAAATAAATAGTACTTCTTAATTTTAATGAACTTCAATGTCATTCTTTTCCTTTATGATTTAAGAAACATAATTTATACCCTATTTTAAAAATCTCTGTCCCATGGTTATGAAGTGTTTTTTTTGTTATCTTTAGAAGCTTTTTTGTTTTACTTTTTACATTCAGATCTGTAATCTACCTGGCATTAATTTTTTAAAACATTGTTTAATTTGACATTAATTTGAATTTCTAATTAGAGATTTGCAAGAATAGTACAAAGGTATCCAGCTATTCTTCACCCAGACTCCCCAAATGTTAATTTTATATTATTACTGCATACTGATACAGATACAAATACTGATATATAGATATAAATAGTGATGTGTTGGAGCCATCTTGTACTTGTATACAGAAGTTGATTGTTAAAATTCAGGCATTTTCAGATCGATTTTTAAACCACGATGGCTTGAAATGGGCCATGGGGGAGTGTGTATTCCAATGGAAATTAGCAAATGCAACAAATCACTTCTCCCCTTTTTTGCACATACCAAAAACTACATTGAAAAACCAAGCAAAAATAGATACATAACTTAATAAAACGAGTGGGTATTTGTGGTCACAAGATAAGATGAGAACATAGGAACTAAATATTAACAAAATTTGAAGAAATTAATTGAAAGAAGCTGACTGTTCTCTGTGCAGCAATGAAAGGAATTTTTAGGCTTCTAAATGCAACATTTTAGTGCATGGCTGAAGCTTCTAATTTGCAAGCTGAAATAAAACCAGCTACTTTGCATATAGTGTTATATGTCCATACAAGAAAGCAATTCATAAGTGAAACTTTTGATATTACAACTTTGAAAAGGTTAAAATCAGAGGTAATACCTTAAGTGGACTGATAATATTAAAACATAGCACATGGCTTCAGATTCATTGTGTAATAGTACTACTGTTCTTGGAATTAACTGGAGATTCAGAAGAAATTTTTATTTCTGTTTGTAAAGCTTCCATTCCAGCTCTTGAAACCAAACTATGGTTGTATCTTCAGCATTACATTCTAAAGTTTTTATAATAATGGTGGTTTGCAGTTTTAGCTAAACATATTAAATAAAATATTATAAATAGAGTAACAATAACAGAAGAAAAATTCTCTGTGGTTGTTATTTTTTGATTTATTAATTTTAAAAGATGAATTACTTATAAACTTTCTCTAGTTAATCCTGAGTTAGCTTCCCTAAAATATTTCTTCTTAAACTAAATTATGTGACATGCCAGAGGAAAAATACATCGACTCTTTTCCATCTTCTAATTTCTTTATGTATTCCACAGAGTGAAATTATTTGATATGATTTAAATTACTCTGATTTTATTGGACCTTAAGAAATACAGCAATACAAATTAGTCTAGAATTTAGATTTGTCCCTTCATTTACATGTGTATATTAAAATATTTATGTATTATGTATATAATATACATAAATATTTATATAATATGTATGCATTATATAAATGTTTATATATGTTATGTTTAAGTGGCATGTATTTTTATGAGATAGTTAAATGATATAAAATGTTTCATAGTATAGTCTTAAGTATAAAAACTTGAAATAGATTCTTGAATTTTTTTTTAAATCTTAAAGCAGTATTTATATATTTAAACAGAAAATTGATTTTAGGTTAAATCAACTTGTGTGAGAGTTTTCTGCAAAGATTCAAGATTTTAAAATAAATAACATGAATTTAATGTCTTATAAAAGTTAAAAACTTTGACACTACTGAATTGTAGAATATTACAGTTTCCAAAAATGTTTCTTATTTTGCCTTTCAATATAGATTTGGTAAGATTTATGACTGAGCTCAGTTGTACTCATTTTGACATGTAATTTGCTGACAGTTTATTGGTTGATGTTATATATGGTAGATAATATTGTTTACATCGAATCCTTTAATTTTGATATAAGTGATGATACTGTGTCTACAGTTAAAGGTTTCTAAATGTATGTGCTTTTATCACTTAAATGATTTTGTTTATTGTAAAGTACTTAGAAAAAAATAAACTAGAATGACAGAAGACCTAAGTCAGAGTTTAATACTTGAAACTTGAAGGTTCTTATTCTAATCCTGAGCAAATTTTTTACAGTTTTGCTGTGTCTGAGGAATCAATGAAAAATCATACTTCTTGTGTAGTTCATGATAGGGTGATGAGGGGGACTTGGGTCTTCATAGACACCTGCTCAGCCCTAATTAAAAAATCAGTGGTAGAGTTGCCTCACTCAATTATTGCATTTTAGTACCTATTCCAGTGGTTAGCTTAAGTAGTGGTGGTTAAATTAAATAAATATTGTATTCAGATGGAAGTGGTAGAGAGACAGATAGACATGGAATTTAAATAGAAGCTGCTGATACATTGGCTTTAAAATATTTTGGTTTGTTATCTACGTTGACAGAGAGTTGATTAATAAGAAATTTTATTTCCTTAAATGATCTGTTGACAGAAAGAAGCTCTGTCCAACAGAGTATTACAAAATTTCTTTTAACAAGAGTATCTTTTTAGGTTAAAGAATGAGACAGATCTTGAATGCATCATATTTTAATATGTTTTTAAGAATGTACACACAAATGGCTATATATTTTTGTTTTTCAGAGTTGGAGAGTTAATCCGGTATATTAATGTCTTATTGATAATGGCAGAACATCCACCACTACTGGATACAACTCAGATTTTAAGTAGTGATATTTCTCTTCTGTCTGCCCCTATTGTAAGTGCAGATGGAACACAACAGGTAAGGAAACCGAAATATTTATTTTCTTTTGTCTAGTACATGTGTATTCTTTCAAAAGAATGCAAAATTTAGAACAGAATGAGGCATCGCAATAGTTGGTTCCTGTTAACTCATGTTTTAAATTCCAGTTCAAAATGTGGTTTTGGTTTCATAAGACTATGAAGTAATGAGACTATTTTTGAAGTCACTTCTAAAATGTATCTTTAATTATTAAATTTCTTGTGTGTATATTTAATTGCCACTAAAGTTGTTTTTGTTTTACTTTAGACAATATACTAGTCCCTGAGTGTTTTTTTTAACTAAGTTTAATCTTGTGCCTTAATGATTATTATAAATCCTTACTTCAGATCATTATGAAGTCATGACTTAACTGTGTGATTAAAATGACTGCCTGCATTATATTATAGTAAAACTTTATCTTCTTTTTTTTCCTACTCTCCTCACCAGACTTCCCCCTCCTCTCCAAAAGCAAACACACAATTCCTGGTGTGTTTTTCTCACAACCCAGGGCTTTATAAATATAGTTCTTTTATTTCATTGATACCTCATTCCTTCAGTAATCCTAAAGGGATGGGAATGATGGGCTTTCATAAGTACCTATTATGCACCAAGCATTGTGCTTAATTCTCACAACTACCCTATATGGTAAGGATTTTAATATTGCAAGTGAGGAAACAAAGACTAAGGACATAATAATAATGAGGAGAAGAAACAATTTGAGTTCTCACTATGTAAAAAATATGTGCTAAGAACTTTATGATCTTACTAAATTCTTTCAACAATCCTATCCCTACTGTAAATGAAACAAATGAGTTTCAGAAAGGCTCAAGATCACACAAAGCTTTTTTGCTCCTTTACTCATACTGCTTCCTTGGGAAACTGAGAAAAAAATAATCGTGTTTTGTTACTTTACAAACTTTGTATTTGAATAATTATTATTTGCTTACAAGATATAAGGGATTACTTTGATTTTGCTATTGAAAAATCAAAAATCAAGAGTGATTAGCTTGAGTTCTAAATTTTTCTGTTTTGAATGAAGATAGCTTTAAAAGTATACACTAGTTTTGATTTTCACATGTACTCTGATAGCTTTCAGCAGCAACTTCATTTCACTAAATTTGCTTTTTAAGGTCAAGTTTAAATCTGTTAAGATTTTTTTTTCTCTTAAAAGTAATAGATGTGGCAGATATTCATTTATTTTGGGGCCCTGGGAGTGTCTTCAGTTATCATTGTTGTCTCAGGGAGATCATTGGCTTCAAGTTGTTTATAATGTAATACATAAAAGAATCTATTAAGTTAATTACAATTCATTGACATAGTTGTCACAGTGTATAGTCTGTTCAAGGGAAGGCTAAAGCAAGACCACGATGCCCTCCCAAGATTTATTTCTCTCTTCTCCCCAAAAAGGAGATTCTGTTGGCCAAATTTTTCTTGAAATCTTGAGGACACCACGGCTAACATGTAGCAGTGGTGGTGTAGATGGATGTAGAGAGAGGACCTGAGATTAGAGGGGCACATGAGAGCAAGATTTGAAGGATCAGGTGGGGTCAGTAGGTCTAGAGGACAGGTTTTTATGTAAGTTTTGAAAAACAAGTTTCAGGAGGTGGAATAAAGCCTAAAATTCTAACCAGCAGAGTGCCTTGTAGTTTGTAATTCGATAGGGAGAGAGATACAGATGAGTGGAAAGAGCACAGGATTTGGATGATTTATATTTGATTTGGGTGACTTAAGAAAAATTATTTAACTTCTTTGTATGTTTGTTTCTCTATAAAATGAAGGTAATAGCTTTTTAGAGTAGCTTTAGCTATGAGGGTGAAATGAGCCTGAAGGAGCTCAGTAAATATTTGTTGAATTTGAATTGAAGTACTCAATAAATGTTTATAAGACTGAGGAGACTCTATAGATATGCCAGTCAGGACTTAAATCAAGAGATAGTTTTTTGGTCCACTGCTTACTATAACTAAGACATAATTATGGAGGATACATACTAAAATGTAAGTGTAAGAGAGTGGACCAATAGCTGTGGTAGAATGTAAGGAACTGAACGAAAGTAGATAACAATTAGAGGTGGTAAATAACAATAAGCAGGTAACAGTTGACAACAAGCATTTCTTTTTCTTGACTTGGGAACTTACAGGTATGCAAACTATGGCCAAGTTAGAGCTTGCCTGTGGTGATATGACACCACCTGGTTGGTGCCCAGAGTAAAGAGACAAGCTAAAGTCAGTTCCTGACGGAAGGAAGTGTCATGGACATGCATGATGTTAAAAATTCAGGCTAACTAGTTTGTCCCTTATCTTTACTCTCTTGGGAATATTATACTATTTCTTGGGAATGTATTATGAAATGATTTCTGTTCCACATCTTGATACCAAATTAATTTTCTTACGATTGGCCATCCAGATTATCTATCTCCTCACCAGTATTTTCTTATTTTTTATAGCAAACATAGTTTCTACTATGTCACATTATTATTATACATAGTGGGTCTTTTGGCTTATGAATTATACTAGAGAGACTCCCTCCTGACATCATTACTGTTAATGTTGCCTTTAGGGAAGCTATAATATACATTTATCATTCATTTTGACTGGCGGCATCTGAACCATTTTTTGTGTTTGAAGAATTTCATTCCTCTTTTTTCTATTAATAGACTTAATTTTTTAAATTAATTTTTTTATTGAAGTTCAGTCAATTACAATGTGTCAATTTCTGGTGTAAGCACAATGTCCTAGTCATGCATATACATACATGTATTCGTTTTCATAGTTTTTTTCATTAACGGTTATTACAAGATACTGAACATAGTTCCCTGTGCTATGCAGAAGAAACTTCTTTAAAATCTATCTTTATATAGAGTGGCTAACATTTGTAAATTTCAAACTCCCAAATTTATCCCTTCCCCCCTCCATTCCCCAGTAACCTGTAAGATTGTTTACTATGTCTGGAAGTCTGTTTCTGTTTTATAGATGAGTTCATAGTGTTTTTTTTTTTAGATTCCACATACAAGTGATATCATATGGTATTTTTCTTTCTCTTTCTGGCTTACTTCACTTAGAATGATGATCTCTAGGTCCATCCATGTTGCTGCAAATGGCATTTTATTCTTTTATGGCTGAGTAGTATTCCATTGTATAAGTATACTACATCTTCTTAATCTAGTCATCAGTAATAGACTATTTTTTAAGTGTTTTAGGTTAATAGAAAAATTGAGTAGAGAGGTTCTCTCATAATATCTCTTCCACAGAGTTTCCTTATTATTAACTTCTTGTATTGGTGTTGGTACATTTGTTACAATTAATAAACCAATATTGATAACATTATTTTTGAGTTCCATAGTTTATAGAATTCATTCTTCATATTGTATAGTCCTTTGTGTTTTAACACATGTGTAATGTTGTATTTCACCATTAGAATATTACACAGAATAGTTTAACTGCTCTAAAACTCCCTGGTGCTCTATTATCCCTCCCTCATTCCCCAACCGCAAATCTTTGGCAATCATTGATATTTTTACTGTCCCTGTAATTTTTTTTTTTTAGAATATCATATAGTTTGATTCATACAGTATGTAGCCTTTCCATACCAACTTCTTTCACTTAGTACTATGGTCTAGAAATTTTCTTTTTTGGCTATTTCATTAGCTCATTTCTTTTTATTATTGTGTAATACATCATTGTATGAATGTACCAGTTTATTTATTCACCTATTGAAGTACTGCTTGAAGTACTGTTTCTAGCATTTTGGCAGTATAAATAAGTTGCTTTAAAAATTCATGTGTAGGTTTTTGGGTAGACATGAGTTTTCACTCAATTGGATAAATATCTAGGAACATCATTGCTGGATCATATGGTAAGACTATGTTTGACTTTGTAAGACACTACCAAACTGTTTTCCAAAGTGGCTGTACCACTTTGTATTCTCAAGCATGTTTGCTGTGAGATTGTATTCTTTATTGGTAGAGCGGGTTAAGCATTTACAAGTGCTTGTGCGGCCCTGTTAGAACTCCCAAATATGTGTCAGGGAATTTGAGCTTCAAGCACAAGTGAAATGCTCCCAGCTATATTCACTATTCCACCATCAAAAGAAAAGTTCAGATATTTTGGTTTCTTGTGTGGTTCAGCACTTTCCTGATTTAACTTTACCTTCTCTAATTTCTACTCATTTACCTTCCAAAAGTATTGAATGCATTTAAATTTTGGTTAAGGTCTTTCAAAACTCAGCACCTATCTAACTTCTTTATTAGAATCCTCTCCATTTCATTAATTTTTAAATTATTATTTTGAAGCTACTATTATTTAATCTTACTTGTACCTGAGGGGTTTTAATTTTGGCAGTGACTGAGTAATGACATGGAGAGGCTAAAGCCATTGAAGGCAAATTTTTATTACTTAAAAAGTTTCCTGAAAGAAGGGGCTATGCCGTACCATGCTGGGCCACATAGGAAACATCAAGTTTTGGATGGGAGACAGAAGCTGAAGCGAGAGGAAAGCCTAGGCCAAAGACGTTAATTGGTGTTTTCTCAGTAAAGGCACAGTGGGGTAGAGTAAATAGCTCAGGATTGGCTATTTAATAATAGTTGTGGCAGAAAAGAAATAACAAGTGTTGACAAGGATGTGGAGAGTAGGGAAACCTTGCAGACTGTTGATAGGAATGTAGATTAGTGCAGGCACTATGGAAAACAGTATGGAGGTTCCTCAAAAAATTAAAAATAGAATTACCATATAATCCAGCAATTCTGCTTCTTGGTATTTATCTGAAGGACATGAAATCACAATCTTGAAAAGGTATCCATACCCCCGTGTTCATTGCAGCATTATTTATAATGGCGAGGACACGGAAACAGCCTGTGTATCCATCAGTAGATGAAAGGATAAAGAGTTGTGGGGTGGACACACACACACACACACACACACACACACAAGAATATTATTCAGTCATTAAAAAAAAGAAGAAAGTCTTACCATTTGCCATAACATGAATGTAGGGCATTATGCTAA